CAACCCATGCTCATCACATTCAAATTCACCAAGCTTTATTGGCAAGACGAACGCGGTCAGTGTTGCTCGCTGTCATGCTGAGAGACCAAATTGAATGCTGATCTTTCACAGGGAAGTGGCTTCCCCATTGTTCCAGCTCAAGTTTACTTTAATGTCAAAAGTGAAAATGTGTGTGCTCAGAGAAATGGGACTTTCAGTTCAGCCCTTCATTTGAGTTTCTCTGCATTTAGTCTTCGTCGCTTTGTCTGGCGATATGTTGAAGCTACACAGGATGAAAAAAACACAAGATGCTTTGTCATTCTAAGCAAACAGCTGCGTGCAGATTGTAACACGTAACGCGTAACACAACCTCCCTACGAAACAAACTTTGGCTTTGTCAGAGCAAAGCCAAACTCTTGCACTTTTTTTTTTTTTAAAAAAATTGCATAGGCAGATACGCCATCATTCTGCAGTTGCTTATTTTGTGAGTGTTATAATTTTCTTTTTAGAGTACGCACAGCCTCATCTTCCCACCTGTCTGGACTATTTCTACTTCAGTTAGTCATTTTCAGCATTTTCCAGAATGCATTTTGACAGCCTTCATAGAACAGACAGGAACATGTTGCGTTTATCGTGTGGGTTAAATATGTGGGTGGACGGAGAGCAGCAGATAGCAATTGCGAAGTAAGTGCGGGAGAATGAGTTTTTTTTTTTTACAGTCAAACTCTAAGAATTACACCTCTAACTCAAAGCGTCACTCTTGCCTCTGCATTATGGTCCACTGAGCCGAATGCTGGTGTGGAAACTGTCCCTCCTGCCTGTCTTTGGAGTTCCTCCTGACTGACAGCTGAATGTGGGTCCAAAATGTTGGGTCAAGGACAGTTTATTGGCGTGTATGTCTGACTTGCATTCAGATTTTTAATCATGATGTCAAATCATGTGCTGCTGGCCACTTTAAAATATAAAATTTTGTCTTTTCCTTGGCTTGTAGGAAATCCTGAGGAAATAAATGGCATCACATTATTAAGAAATGCACAGAGGGCGTATACTTGATTGCATTTATGATAACAGTTACAAAGAACCTGCACATTCTTATGTGGTATGATTTCACTCCAGGCGAACATTTTTTGGCAACTTTTTCAAGTCCTACTAACAGAGAAACATCAGCTCAACACATCTGTCTTTTTATAGACTAAACTCTTCACTTCTGCTGAATTGCAGAGATATCATCATGCTGGATGTCATGTTTCTGACAGTCTTTGATGTGACTTAGTACAGTGTGCTGTGTCTAGGGTACTGACATTTTTTTTAGTGGTTTCACGTAGATATTTATGTATTTTACAATATGTGGTATATAATCGATGCGGAATATACCTGCATAAGCCTGGTAATTGCATAGTTGTTTTAGATTTGAGAGGATTGCATCCTGTCAGCGATGAAAAGCCTAGGTGTGCTTCTACAGAGTGAGCTTGTCTGTTACATGAAGACATCGTCATACATGGAGCATGTGTGTTTTTATGCCTGTGGCTCGAACAGTCCTCAGGAACAGACTATCTTTGTCCCAGCATTCCTTCTTCTTCCTTGTCTTCATTTCTTTCAATTTCCCTTCCTCTGTCAGTCTGTTTATTCTGGAGACTGTTTTGGTAGATTTTTGCCTTGTGATTGAAAAGCTATTCCCTCACCTATATTTTCTCTCTGTTTCATCTGAAGCTTTTTTCTCTGTCTCGCTGTCTGACTCCATGCCAGCTGGCAGGGTATCTGCCCTCAGGTGTTTATTGACCAGTCCCTCGCTTTCCTTTGTATCTATCCATCCATTCATCCCTCCATCCAGCCAGTCTTTGCCAGTCCTCCCCGGTGGCTGTGCTTCGGTTGGACAGTGGAACGACAGTGTGCTGTGTTGTTTCTGAGACCCGGCCCGGCTCAGGCTGCTTCAGCAAGCTCGCTTTCGTCCAGTTGTAAAACCCATCAGTTACTGGTATCTTGTGCTTATAATACCTACTGTCTCTCAGGCATAACGTGGAGTTTGTTTGTTTATGATCTTCTCTTTAACTTTTGTTTTTTATCTTTCCAGTAAAGTTTGTTTGTATGTCGTAAGATCAAAGTTATGGGGACAGTCAATAAGAGTGGCTTCATAGACCAACCATGTTCAGGTCAGTCCCTTCAGATTGTATTTGGTTATCGGACATATGGTTAAACATCAGTACTGTCAGATCGGTTTCCTACTGGCCAAACTGAACCAGGTCATCTGAATTGATCTGATGGCTGAGCACAACCTGTTGCATGATAAGCGGCAATCTGGCATAGTTGCAAAGATAATTAATGGAGGAGAACACTGAACACTGAAGTGTACTGAACTATACCCTGCATAATTAGCAAAAACTCAGTGAGAAGTGGTTGTGAACCATCTCACAAATTACAAAATGACAGTTAATCCTCAAACATGTGTCCACTTAGAGCAATTTGTGGATCAAACTGTTCCCAGAGTGTGATCTTTTTTAATTCATAAGAACTTGTTTCCTATTTCTAAAGCTGTTCGTGTCAACTCAGAGCAACAACAGATATACGGTACTGTGCAACAGTCTTGAGCCACCCATTATTGCTTTATATTTTGCTTCCAAGCAGCCAGACTTTCTTCTAATGTTTTACTGAGGCCTTGAGGAATAGTTCTTCAGGCCATCTGAAAGTCTTTCAAGATTTTTCTTTTGACATTTGCTGCTTTTTTTCTCTCATTTTCACTCCCGAAATTGAGGAAGAGTCCTTGTACCGGACTATGTTCAAGGAAATGTTTTCTTAACACTGACCCGTGAATTATTCAAGCATAAAAAAGTCACCTAACTCCAGGGATGAACCACTTTAAATTCTGTCTCTAGTCTCTTTGTTACTAGCACAACACATCATTTTTTCCCATTTCTTTAGTTGAATCTAAATGCCATGTTTGACTGGCATAAATGATATTTTTACACCAACAAGGTGATTCCCAAAGAGCTATTAGCTGAAAACGTGGCACATCTCAGCAATTTGAAATTTCTTTTTTTAACACTATCAGGAAAGAAGTACAACAATAGTCCCACAAACAATACAAATGCTGTAAAAGCATACTTGGATAGAAAAACACACAGTGGAACACAAACGGTTATAGGCTGGCCTTCCTCGAGCGCAGACCCGAAGCAGTGTGGGATCATCTTTACAGCAAATGGAATAAAAAGCAGCCAACATCCAAGGAAGAGCTTTGAATGACCTTCAAGAAGCTATTGCTGACGACTACCTAAAGAAATTACAAGAAAGCTTGACTAAGAGAGTTCAGGCTGTGTTAAAGAAGTAAAGATTGGCAGAACTGTACAAATGCTCATGTTTCAATATATCCCTGCTTGTATTTCCCATTGCCCGAGTACGAGTGCTTTGATTTATTTCCATCTGCGATCTAGTTGGACAGATTGAACGAGCAACAGGCTAAAGTATAGTCAAGCAGACTGACCAAGGTTTCAGAAGAACAGATACCACTTGAATACAGAAGAACGACTCCCTTGAGTTTAATGTAGTAAAAGTTTCACATTGGCAGCAGGCGGATAATCTACTTCCAGTTATAAAAAATATATTCAGGTTTGCCAAGTTCTTCTTTCTAACTCTTTGTGGTCCTCACATACATACAGACACGCATGCTTTATAGAAATACACCAAAGGAGCTGAGGCACAGTCATCTACACATGAATGCATAGGTTTACACACGCATGAAGCTGTGTCTGTCCTTGGAACTGAGCCGGGTGTCTGGTGCTAATTGTTTACGAAGCCTCGTTGAGAGTAACCAAAAGGCTGGTTGAATGGTGCGTGTCTCTGAGAGCCTTTGTATGATGGCATACACAGCCCCGTCAGTCCTGCGCTGCCCTCCATTGCCACGTCTGCTGTCTTTTATCTATTCCTCTTCAACGCCTCTAAGTGCCAGCAACATGTGTTAGTGAGGATGAAGTGATGCAGAGAGAAAGAGAGACCGAAAGCAGGACGGGCAGATGGAGGAAAAAGGGGGGAAAAAATAAGACTGTTGGAGAAAAATCACCGAAAACATGAGAGCGACTGATGTTATAGAGGAAGAATAAGAGCAGCTGAGGGAAAAAGAGGGCCGACAGATTATAAAAGAGAGGAAATAATATAGAAAAATAGAAAGATGGGGAAATAGACAAAGAGAGCAACTGAGGGGAGGGAGATGAGAGAGGAAGAGAGAGGGGGAGAGGGATGGGAGGAAGAGGATGAATAGGGTAATAATGGCTCAGTGTGAGAGCTGTTGTAGAAAAAGAGAGAACGGCTGAGTGAAGAAGAGAACAAAATGAGGCTGAGGGCACTCAGACAGATAGAATTAGACACACCGCAGAGGTTCACTGTGCGTGTGTGTGTTTGTGTGCAAGGCTGAGAGGGAGTGTGCTTTTGTTTCTGTGTGTTTGTGTGCACTGGTGTAGAGTGTGTGTGTGTGTGTGGGCAGCAGTTTTCTTAGGAAGGGCACGATTGCTGTTGGTGTGAATGGATGGATGGAGGATAAGGGGACCAAGAAAAAGCATTTTCGTGAATTTTCACAGTTTTCGGAAATGGACAAACATAATAACATGAAATAGCCGGCTGAGACAGGTGGAGAGCTCGGGAGGAATTTTCTGAGGTTTTTCTGCTCTCTGTGAATGTTCGTATGTTTATTGTTGGATCGTGAGGACAAGCTGAGTGAAACTAGTGTGAAGGTGCTAAAAGACCCAAATGATGAGCGTAGCTCTAATGCTGCCTCCATCCCACCACCTCTGCTGTTCGCTCACACAATCCCCCACATGTTTCTTCTCTCAGTCTCACAGAAATGTCACTGACAGAACTTCTTGCTCATTAAGAAGGTGTTTAAATGCAACAAAGGCTTAATGTGCTGTAGAGGTGTATCATATGCTCTGTGCTCATTGTGTACTTATGATCCTGCAATATGCAACATGATTATATATCCCCTACTACTCTCTCCTTCTGTCTCTCACTCTCATTTCTCTCTCTTTCCATCACAGGCGGAGATTGTCAAGCGTCTCAGTGCCATCTGTGCTCAGATCATCCCTTTCCTCTCTCAAGAGGTAAGTGTTACTACAGCCAGAGACATTTACACATGCACAAGCAACATGCTGGCACAAAAAAGGGGAGAAAACCACTCATACCTCAGACACTTCCTCACAGAATATCAGAAATCATATACTGGATACAGCAGCGGTCCCCAACCTTTTTTGCGCCACGGACCGGTTTATGCCCGACAATATTTTCACGGACCGGCCGTTAAGGTGTCGCGGATAAATACAACAAAATAAAACTAGTACCGGTACTGACAAAAAGAAGATTTATTCATCACACACGTGAAAAGACCCAGGAAAACCGAGTAAACGATAAAAACGATAACAAAATAACGCTGAAAACTGATAAAAACCCTGAAAACTAGACATTTCACACCTGAGCCGCAACTCTCGCGGCCCGGTACCAAACGACTCACGGACCGATACCGGTCCCGAGGGTTGGGGACCGCTGGCATACAGGACATTTTAACAGTTGAAGAATTTAAATACTAATCCTGATTTGCTACACAGATGTTAATTCATCCAAATCATTTACATTTTAAAGCAAGCATATTGATAATGGAACGTTAACTTTCAGTGGAATGTTGTCACTTGGACAGAATTCTGTATTATATACAGTTAGATCCATAATTTGTTGGATAAAAACATTTAGTGTTGCCTCTGAGTCCCACAGTTTCAGGCTTAAAGTCAACTGGACAGTGTTGAATTTGTATTTCGCTTTATTTTCACTGTAATTTTGCCAGTGAAAAATTCCACCATCGGGCTGAAAAAGCAAAATAAACCGAGAGAAAGCAAAAACTTTACGAGTGGCCAAATCTACAATTTGGTTTATTCCTAAAAATAAGGACTCCACTGACCAGCTCAGCTTTTTTAACAGCAAATCTGTGAGAAAAGTTGGAGGCAATGTTACGGCTGCCAGTAGAACCATGTCAGTAGTGTTTACTGATGATGTCAATGGAAAATGAACCAAAGCAGACTGAAAAAACAACCCAAGAGTTTATCAATGAAAAGAAAATGGGTATTTTTTAAAGGCAAAAAGTGATTCACTTGTTCTCAAACCAATAGACCACGCTTTTCAGGTATTTAATACAAATCTTAAGGCAAAGAACCGACAAACAAGAAGCAACTAAAAGCAGCTGCAGTAAAAGTCTAGTTGAGCATCCTGAGGTAGGAAACACAGCATTGATGTTCATGGGTTCTAGACTTTTTGCTTCTGAAAATGTGGAACTGTGTATAAAAATATCAGTAAATACTAAACAGTTGAATATTTCTTTCTTTTTTAACGACTTGAATTAAAGCTGAAAGCCTGCACTTCAATCATGTCTTGAGTGTTTGATTTTAAATCCAATGCGGCGGTGCACAGAGGCGGCATTATTAAAAACGGTCTCCAACAAATTATTGATCTGGCTCTGTTAGGAGAACACAACAACTGGCTAATTTTTAAGATAAATAAATCAAACCAACAATAATATATAACAATAACAATTTCACAGTTAGTGTAGCAGATGTGATTGATACTTCTACATTTCTGACTTGAAGGGGCCACCATGTCATGTTACAGTCAGCTAATATTTGATACTATTATTATTATTATTATTATTTAATGTAATGCCCCATGGTGAAAACAAGGTATTACAGTCATATGCATTGTATGTGTTTCTGGGGTTATTTACTAATGAACTATCCAATAGCGAATGGCGCTGATAACATAATAAATCTCACAACTTTCAGTGTAACTGGAGACAAAGCAGAAGTCTTTAGCATAGACGCAGCTATACAGCACATCATGAAGTAAGCTCTCTGACTACTCTAAGTTAAATACATACTTTTTTTAAGAGCTTCAGGGCCTCTTATCATTCAGAAACATTATCACCATTCCTGCACGAGTGTTTTGCTTCATTAATTGCTCCTTAAAGCCGTAATTTAATTTGTATGTGCTTAGAGGAGCAGAATTATTGATGATATATTGTTACATTGTTGCTCTGACTTTGGGCGAGACAACAAAACAGATTAAATGAGAAGAAACCATTTTTATAGTTGAATTCTACTGCGTCAGTGTGATTTTTACTGTACATTTGTGTGTGCGTGGAGGGTTTTTTGTGCAGGTGTGTACATTGTGTACATTGTAAATACAAACCTGCAGACACCCTCCTTTTTTTTGTCTCCAAGTGTGAGTGTACACTGAGTGCGCTACCTGGAGACAGCAAGGTCACAGCTTTGTCAGTTTGATCAATATTGACACTGTGTGTATTCTGTGTGTAGGTGTGCAACAGCGGCACACACATGTATGTTTGAGTTTGTGCGACTGATTACATTGGGATTTTGTTCAAACAGAGCTGAGGTTTTCGTTAGCCTTGCTCTCGGTGTGTGTGAATGCGCACGTATCTCTGTACGTGTCTGGCTACAGTGTGTGCGCTTCCGTTTTTTGTGACGTTCTCTCAATGTTTGTGTTGTGTGAATGCATGGTTGCTCCATCCAGACCATCTTATTTGCACTACCTGTACCGGCTTTGGATGGAGGCAGCAGCGTTTCTCTAGCTTGTTTAATGTAAAAGTCCCCGTTGTGTCATTACTGAGTGTACATGCAATATACTCTACATCACATTATGCTTACAGTATATATCCCAGTACACACCGTGGATGATTATGCACTGTAATATGTCTTTCTTTCACTTTCTCCCTTTATGTGTATGTGTAGCACCAGCAACAGGTGGTCCAAGCTGTGGAGAGGGCCAAGCAGGTCACTATGGCTGAACTCAACGCCATCATCGGGGTGAGTCACCTTGATTCATCAACACAGAGGAACTAAGAATGATGGGAATTAAATTATTATTCATTCTTAATGTCTATAAATACAAACGTCTGTGATGAGCAGTCCTGTGAAAATGATTCAGTAGCTTGCAGAACCACCTTTAACAGCAGTAACTTTCCATTTCTCTCACATCCTTATGGAGAAGTTTTGCCCCCCCCCCTTCTTTACAACTTCACTTCACCTCTTTGAGATTTGCGGGCATCTGTTTATGCACAGCTCTCTTAAGGTCCCGTATCAGCATTTCGATCAGGTTGAGGTCTGGACTTGGACTCCACTGCAACACAGTCATTCTTTTCTTTTGCAGTGATCCTGCTGTTTGCTTCCTCTTGAGCAACATCAGGTGGTCACCCAAAAAGTTGATTCACAATACTTTGAATACTAACTTATTAGACTTATCAGAGTATTTTTGCATCACCAAAAGCACGCCCTTGCACATTTGGCTATATTGTCCTGAGTATGCATGTGCCCCACTGCACATTAGGGCTGCCACGATTAGTCGACTAGTCACGATTACGTCGACTATCAAAATCGTCGACGACTGATTTAATAGTCGAGGCGTCGTTTGAAGCTTTGTAAGATCACAAAAGACTCAGGAATAAGTAGCAGGATTTAAGAGTGTAATAACGGACTGAAACAGAAGATGGCAGCACTGCATGTACAAGGATGCCAGTTGCCATTAAACCCCAAAGAAGAAGAAGTAGCTCTGTCCCAGAATTCATAGCGCAGCCCAGCTCAGTTTCCAACAATGGCGGCAGCTAGTTAGTTTTAATATTACTCTTATTATTCTTTCTGGGTCACAAAATAAACGTTTAACATATTTTCAGGCGAGAATGTAGCTGTGTAAAACTTAAATATCTGCTCAGTTTATCAAGACACCGCATATTTTGAAAAGCGCTCCGACGTTTTCGAAGACGTCTGTTACCCACTAGCTCGATAGCTAGCCGGGGGCAAGGCTAACTAGAGCCCGTGAGAACACCGGACTCTGGGCAAATCGTTTTCAAACCCACCGCCGTCTGTCGCTACTCAGGTTAAACATACACAAGTCACTTAAATGTTATTGTTTGGCTTTTTTTAGAAGTGTATTTATTCCTGAGTAAATCGGTTTGGCTGAAGTTATAGTTTGTCCTGTTATATTTTAGATAGCATGGAGTTTATCAAACTTCACCCAAACAATGCAAAACTATCATCTTGTCTTTATTTTTAGTTAGCACATACCTTAAACACTTAAAGCTGTAAGCTAATGATAGTTATATAAGAGCAGATGCATGCTGGTGCAATAAGCTGTAGTTTTACGTCCAATGGATGCATGATCTGATTAGTCGACTAATCCCAAAAATAATTGGTGACTAGTCGACTATCAAAATAATTGTTTGTGGCAGCCCTATTGCACATATATGTACATTTCCTCATTTCACCGTGAGATGATATTGGTCGCATCTAACCGGCGATGCCCTCATAATTTTTCATTGCAGCGGCAGCTTAAACCAAACTAAACGCTCGCCGTTAACGTGTGGGAGCTGTGGCGCCAGCATCGTTCTCCTCCTCTTCTCCACCACTGTTGTGGAGCTATGTTTAGCTCACAGGTGCTTCCTCAAATTTGAAGGGGGGAGCTTTTCGCAGCTGACAGACACTTTACACCTGGGCACAGTTTGCATTTCCCTGTGATCTTCCTGCCATTTTCACCCACAGACTTAAAATAATGTGGATACTTCCAAAACATAAAGGCTTTCATCGCTGCCATCTTACTTGCAGAGCTACATGCACAGCGAGACCATTTGGCAAATGTTGATCATGTGAGCGGAAGGTCAGCGAGTGGAAGAGGTCAGATTGAACAGGAATGGTTTATTAATCTGAAGATTTGACACAACTAAATAATGAGTTGCCTGAATCATCAATTCAAGAACTTCACCAATGCTCATATTGTGCATATGATCTGCTTGTCTGTATATACATATATATGTACGCACAGAGAGACACAGTGATGCTCCTGAGTGCTGTAGTAGATGGGGCTTTCCACAGCTTGTCAGAGCACTGATCACATTACTGTCTACTTAAGGCCCTTTGTTCCTCCCAGCACTACAAACACTGCTGTCTCTAAGGTGTGTGTGCTTTTGTGTGTGTATGTGTGTCTAATAAACCGGCTTGACAAAACAGCACACAAAAACACATCATAATGCTCCCCTCAGGATAATAGCCTTTCTTTATCTGTAGCTGCTCCTTTGCTCTCCTCTCTCTCTCCTCATTTTTCTCCATCTCTCTTTTTTTCTTGCCTTCGTCATTTTCTTTCTGGATTTTCCCCACAATCTTTTATCGTTCTCTCCATCTTACATCGGCCGTGTCCTCATTTCTTCTCTGCCATCATTTTTTTTCTCTTACCTTTTATTCTCCCTGCTGCACACTTGCCTTCCCTTTCTTCCTGCACTCATTTACTCTTTCCCCTGTTCATGTAATTCTCCTTCACTTTTCATTGCTTCCTATGTTATTTCCTTCTGTTTCTCCTCATCATTTGCTCTGTGACTCAAACATTTTCATCCTTCAATTTAACCCTCCCTGTGTTTTCTACCTTTTTCTTCTCCTTTATAATAAATCCCATTGCCTCGATATCTCACTCTTCTATTCACTTCTTGGTTTCATTCTCAACTGCCTTTGCTTCCTGGGTGTATCATGATCATTCAATTTCATTCTGCCTTTCTTTCCTTGTCCTCTTTCCCATCCTTGGTCTCCATCCTTTCACCTGTTAATCCTCTAATCACTTTCACATCCTGTCCACTTTCATCTTAACATCCTTCTTCACCGTTTGGCTCTCCATGTGTGTTTTATTTAATTCGCCTTCTCCCTTTCTCATGTTTTTCCTCAATTCTTTTTCCAACCACAACACTGCCTTCCCCCTCACTTCACTTCTCCCGTTTTTCATTCCCTTTTCTTCTTTACCTTGTCTTTTCTAACCACACACTCCCTTGTATCTCACCCTCCCTCCCCTTACTCCTTACCTCCCCGCTACTTTCTTTCCCTGTGGCCACAGCAGCAGCAGCTCCAGCACCTGTCTCACCACGCCCCTGGCATCCCCCTGACGCCACACCCATCAGGGCTGTCCCTGGGCGCAGGGGGCTCAGGACTGCTGGCACTGACGGGGGCTTTGGGGGTCTCAGCCCACCTTGCCTCCAAAGATGAGCGCAACCACCTGGACCCTGAACATCTCAGAGGTAAAGAAGCGTTTATCCTCTTCGTTCTCAGTTTTGACTGTAAAATCAGGATTATGTGTTTTGGTAGAGTATTTGTCATGAGGATATTCTGAGTGAACAGCTAGAATAAAAGACTGTGACTTTGAGCAGCGTTAGTCTTTTCTACTATTGAAAGCGGCTGCCTTTACTTGCACTCACACTCATCAGAACATTTTGTTTCTTAATGTGGACGTTTTTACCCCTAAAAATCCCTCCAGCCCTGAAGTGTACCACGGTTGTTCCACAGTGAGAATCAGTGTACTTGTTTTTGTTTCAGGTTTACACAAAGTGCTTGATCGATGATGAAATCAATGACAGTATTGAACATTTTGAGCAGATTTGGTTAGCTAGTTCTGTACATGTGAGGCTGAGGGAAAGGCTGAGGGAAACGGCGCGTGCACCTATCGAATATCAAACGCGCAGAGATGATTTTTTGCTTCCTAAAATGTGTCTGTTTTCCAACATTTGCATTTCTGATTTTTGTCTTTAATTGGCTTCATTTGTCATCCTAGAATCGGCGGATAGTAACTCGTGACAGCTGCAGAATAAGAAAAAGATCATTTTTTTATCATTTTTAACCACACAAAATGTAGTCAAAAACGCAAAGCAGCACTATACATCATCTCTGACAGGCAGCTGCTTTGTAATTTGTCCAGGAACTCACCTTTTGGACTCAGTTTGAACTTTCCTGTTTCGATTGCTGTCTTACCATGACCAGATGTATTCATGGCCTTTTTGTAAATGCAGGAGAAATGCTCTCTCCCTATGAACTTCCTTTCACCCCGATAGAATATCTTATCTTTGTGCAGTTTTTCCGGCAGCGAGCCAAGAGAGACTTTCTCATGAATAAACTGAGAGCTAGAAAGAAAAATGGAAGGAATCGGTGAGAACAGAAACGGGGGAAAGATAAAGAGATCACTGTGTTCGTATTGTCACGTTAAGCATCTGTGTAAGAGCTTATGCATGTCTGCAGCTGTGTGTGTTTCTGTTCTTACATATGAGACGAAGAATGAGGGAAAAGATGGTGAGCGTTGATGGCAGCAGGGGAAGACAGCGAGCTTTGTCTGCTTGGAGAAGAGAGAGAGGGAAAGATAGAGAGGATAGAGGAGGCTGGAGTCGGGCACAATAGTGGGTTTGTATCTTTATTAGACAGAAGTCGTCGTAGTTCAGCCTAACCTTGGCTGACTGGGGACTGTTGTTGTTGTTATCGGCACTGACGTCAAACTTTCTCTCTTCTCCCCATTTTCCCTTCTTCATCGCTCTCTTCTTTTCTCTGCTCGGTTTTCTTTCCTTCCCTTTCTCTGCCCCAACCCAGAGGGAGCGCCCAGCAGGGTGAGTAGTGTTGCATGTGTGTACCTTGATGTAAGTGTTTTGTACGCCCACGTTTCACCGTGTGCACGCGCGTGTGTGACAGTGATAAACTGAGAGAAATGGAGACGCGCCGCAAAGTGGCCTCTAAAAAAGGCAGTGTTTTGCTGGAGCTCAGCCAGGAGTAGCACTGCTCAACACCGGCACAATAGCAGCTCATCACCATCAACCTTGAGCTTCTCAAGGTTTTCCACATTATACTAACGTCTGAGCGCGCTGCATTCGACCGTTATCTGGAGGAGCCTACGAACTGAGTTAATGGACTGTTTCTTTATCAGCGCCACAAATATTCGGGTAATCTACAACATATACAGAACACGAGGAAGGATTATATCTGAGTTAATGTTAAATGCTGCCCAAAATAAGAAATGCAAGTAAAACCGCTAAATAGTGGCCGTGAATCACCAAATATTCCTGAACAGCAGATCCAACAGCGATTAGATGCTTCAGAGTCGAAACTATCCTTAGTTAATATTAAACCTAATGTGCAAAAGTGCCGTCGTCACCATGAAGTGAAATCGCTGCACCAGAAAATCAAAATGCTGTTCACCATGAATGGATGAACAGTTCAAAGGCTTATGGAGTTTGTAGCCTGCAGGAAGTAATGTAATGTTTGAACACATGTTGCTCTAAGAGCAAAAATAATCAGTTTACCAGCCCGGTTCCAAAAAAAGTTGGGCTGTTGTGCAGAATGGAAATAAAACAGAATGTGTTGATGTCCAAATCTGAAAAAGATGTTTTATTAACAGCAGAACATAGGAAACATGAGTGGATGCATGGTGGACGCAACATGTTTCAAAAACTTTGAGATAAAATGAACCAGATGCCAGAAGATTATTCGACATGAAACAAAAAATATAAGAAGTTTGGGTTAGTTAGTTTGTTCGGGTTTGTGGTTGTTTGACAGTTTTTACATGTACAGTAACTTATTCTGAGTTTCATTGGGCACAATAAGAATAAACCAAAGTGACACAGATGACATTACAGTAGCTGTCTTTTCTTTAAGGTGACACTTCACTACAGCACTGACCTGTTGGAGTTTTTCCATCAGAAGCAGCAAAATTATTTGTATGAAAACTGAAAAAGAAACTAAAGAGAAGAAACTTGAAACTGGGTGGAGGGGAGAATGTGCTGGCAGCGGTGGGGTGTTGTTAAAAATACCAACAAGTCTTTGTTCTAGCTTTATTGTGAAATAAAAATGATTTAGGGCCGCTGCTGACTTTACTTTCCCTCGCTCTTTCTGCAGTGAAAACCTTAGCATAATTTAACTGCGAGCACAATGCCGATTGTTAAGCACCAAGAAAATATTTCTCTCATGAGCGGAGGTTTCTGCTGAACTTAGCCAAGCATTACCGCATTTGGGGAAGAAAGGGAGGAGGAGGAGGATGCATATCAATTGACATTTATCAGAGAGCCCCACGCTGGCAAAAACAAGTTTGAATTTGAAATGGAGGGGGGAAAAGGGACAGCGAGAGGAAGTGAACAGAAGAGGAGAAAAAAGGCGGAAAAGAATGACACGAGGGAAATTTGCGGAGCTGCACTGAGGTCCATTGTGTAGCCTCTTCTCTCGTGTGTTGTGCTCCTTCCTGCCGTTCCCGTGGGCTCCTTCCTGTGTGACTCACTCGTGTGTTAAACCCTCGCTGTTCTTGTCCTCCCCACGGGGGGACAGAGAATGACAAGTGGCCCTCGCCGAACCTCCGGCCCTTGCCCCAGTCCTAAAACAACACAATGCTTTGATCGGGTTTTCAGAGTGCTGAGCACCAGGAAAGGCTTGTAAATATACCTGCACAGCTTTATTGGCCAATAATGAGACTCATATTTTACATGAAGACTGCTGTGTCGAGGGAGAGCAGTAATTAGCTTTATAGGCTGGCCTGTGCGCCGCTATGACCGTGTCTTAACCTGTGCTTGTGTTTTTCTGTGTGTGTTTTGTGTGCTTTTAATGTCTGTTTTTCCATCCTCCACGTGTTTACTTTGCTGTGTTTGATCATTTGCGAGTGTGACGTGAATCTGCGTGTCATGCCCTGGGCGGTCGTTACCTGTGCTTTTGCTGTGAGGTCGTGTTCACGCGTTCATACTTTTGATTGTGTTCCTGTCTTTTCTTTTCCCCCAGAGTAAGTCGGTGTCATCCACAGACAGCCAGCCAAATGAAGAGCGCCAAGGCCCATCAGGAGGTTACGCCTCCTCGCAGGGAGGAGCTGAGGCCAAGAGAAGGCGCTGTGACGACAAAGAGTCTCTCCCGCCACATTCCTACGTATGTGTTTGTTACCTTCACCAATGTGATTAAGGGTTGGTTCAGTAGTGAAGGACGGAGGGGGCTGCGTAGGTGGTGAATCTCAGATCAGATACAGAACTGGATCCAAGTGTTTTTTGTGAATTTCTTCACAAAAAGCATATCGACATAAAATTTAAAAAAAATGTATATATAGTCTTGATGTTCTTAAAAAAATTGCAGTGACCCAGATTCAGATGTCCTACACCAGGGGTGTCCAACTCCAGGCCTCAAGAGCCAGTGTCCAGCAACACAGCTGATTTAAATGCTTAAATTACCTCCTCAACATGTCTTGAAGTTCTCCAGATGCCTGGTAATGAACGAATTATTTGATTCAGGCGTGTTGACCCAGGGTGGTATCTTAAACCTGCGGGACACCAGCCCTCGAGGCCTGGAGTTGGACACGGTGTGGACACAATCTCGGACCCAATCCAAGCATGTTGCAGTGGGAATTTTCAACCTTGGTGACAGGAAGCGTGTTATGTGACTTTGTGCTTATAATCTGAGCCTGAAACGATGCCACTGAGAAAAATAAAATGCAGCAGCGGAGGTAACAACCAACGGGAGGAATCATAAAAGTTACATGTAAACTAACAACTTTTGTTCTTTTATCAACCAAAGATGTCTGTCTGATGTGTGGTTGTGTGTGTCTGTATGACATTGCCTATGACATTACGGGCCACCCGGGGGTCGGGGGCCCGTGGCCAATTAGAGTCGTGTTTGGTTTGGATGGGTCCAGTGGGGAAGAGCAAGCAGCCAGAGGCGATGTAATGCCAGAAGAGAGATGGCCAAGGCAGATAGCTGTAATGAATTAGATGGCTGTGTGTTTGCAGTCTGGAGGATTGATTGACACCGGGAGTCTGTCTGTGCAAGACGGCCTCCAGCTAAGTCAGTTTGGCATCAGCAGCAACAGTCCAAATCTTCCCATTAGTTCAGAAAGAGAACAAGCACAGAGAGCTTCCACTTTCTGAATGTTTTTCCTCTCTTTCCGTCTGTCGAGCCGAATTACGCCTCCCATTTCTCTCTGTTTGCCTTTTCCTATTCTATATCTTTCTCTGTCTCTTTACCGCTGTTTCTCAGTTCCTCTTGCTTTTTCGCTCACGCTCCACGCTCTACTTCTTGTTTCCTTTTCATTTTTATTCCATCTGTATTATTTTCTGCCCTTTTTTTCCCCCCTTGAACTTTTTTCTCGTCCCTCCTCACCATCATTTCCACACTGTCTCTCTCGTTTCATCTCTTGCTGTTTTTTTGTGTGTGTGTGTTTTTGGTTTTTGTTCCAGGAAGGAGGTTGTAGACATTGTCCTGTTTTGGCTCTGCATAATAAGGCACTGATGTCACTCCACACTGATGTCAATAGGAATATCAGGCCATGATCACATCAAAGCGCTGTTGCCATGGTGACTAAGTGCCATCGTTCTCACCCCAGAAAAAAAAGGAGAGAGAGATGGAGAGATGGCTAGACGAAGAGGGGAAAAAATGTGCTGTGTGTGTGTGTGCGTATGACTGAGATCAAAAAATCTTTGTACAGAGGGATGTTTGGTGAGAATATATGATATACAATATCTCTGCGTTAAATGTTGCATGGACGGTGGACGGAGATCGAAAGGAAGCAAAGAGCAGCCAGTGATATTGATATATCGATCTGTGTGCGCACTTGTGTGTCTTTATTATTTAACTTCTCCATGTACACACGCAGCATATTGTATCTCTGTGCTGGTGACTGAGGAGGAAAAAAAAGCTGTTTTATCTTAATGGATCTTGAAAAATCATGTTTTCCCCTTTCTTCTATCTTCTTTGCTCCTCAGGACAGCGATGGAGACAAGAGCGAAGACAATCTTGTAGTGGATGTCTCCAATGAGGTGAGACGCCAGTCTTTCTAAATGATTTTGACAGCACCTTGATGTGGCTGTTATCAGCAGGTTTTCACGAACGTATATATGTAAAAGAGGTTGCTTGTAGTGATGAATCCACAGAGAATTGTCACTTGACTCTGCTTTTCCACCTCCACTCTGTGGAGCTTTTTAGAAAATTGTCTGCTAATTTTTTTTCCCTTCATGTTCATCTTCATAGGCTGTATATAAGATGGATATAGATTCTGTGTGTCAATATAGAAGCCAGATAGAGCTGCATTATCTTTAAAGGCCACCAGGGGGCAATAGCTGTGGTCGCAGAAAGATTTATTGTCTGTGGGGAAAACGGCTCTCTGCCGGGACTTTGGCAAACACATTGCTTCTCAGTTTATGGCCTCTATCACTCATTTTGGTTCCCACTGAATAAAACATAAGACCTGCTCATTACCAAATGGCAAACAGCAAAAGTTAGCGGCTGGCTTCTGAATTTAGCGGCTAGAGTCCGAAATCTCTTTCACAAGTTAGCAGTCAAAAGAGCCAGATTCACAGTAATGAAGAAAATATCTTCAATTGGTAATATTAATGAATGCATGGTGGTGGATGACAGTTCATTATACGGGATTTACAGAATTTTTTCTTCACTTTCTTGCCAGTCAAAACTGGTAGAGCGCACACAACGACCAAACTCTGAAAGACCACTGGTTTCTTATTAATAGAAGTTGAGTCTAATTTGTGAGTGACCTATCAGGAAAATACAGACTGAGCTCTGTGCAACAAGTACTTAACATTTGTTAATAGTCAAATCTAATTAAACATCTCAGAGAAATGAAATGTAATTTTTTTTATAATTTTTTATATTTTCTTCAAAATATTTTGCTGTTTAAGAGTCATTGAAAGCATTCTTTATCCAACACAAGCTCTGTGACACAGAGGTGCAGCCACACGTGAATAAAACATGAGTCCAACATTGGAAGGACCAGTGTTGCTCAGGGAGCCTACTGCCACCTCCTCATAACCCTGCGTTTGTGTGTGTGTGTGTGTGTGTGTGTGTGTGTGTGTGTGTGTGTGTGTGTGTGTGTGTGTATATAAACATTAACAGCATAATTGGCCAAGGAATAAGAAAGACTTCATATTATTAATATTAATTTGACTTGATTATTTCATTATTTTTGGTTTGTTTATTATCATTTGATTAAAATGTTGCACTCCAGTTATTACTTTGTTCAGACTAATAGAGTAATCCTTTTATTTAAAAGTAGTTTTTGTGTGGTAAAACATGTTCACCAAGATATTCATTTTACGTTTTACCTTTGAAACATCAGATTTTTTTTTGCATTTTCATAAGAAAAATTTAAAATTTGTCAAAGTCTAAACATCTTTGCATTTCAGTGATTCCTGTTTGCTTGCTTTAAAAAAATATTGTCCATCTGGAGTAACCTTGGTGTGTGTGTGTGTGTGTGTGTGTGTGTGTGTGTGTGTGTGTGTGTGTGTGTGTGAAATGTAAAACGAGTCAGCAGGTATGTAGCTAGTTCAGCTTTCTGCTGCAGTTTCCTTGTAAATAGGAAGAGCTCCTATGTAAGCTCATTATCAGCTGCCACTGTTTATGCTTTCTTCTCGTGAACCAAGTCTGTACACACACACACACACACACGGTACTCACCTATTTCTTCTCATTTACCTCTTCTGTGTACATTTGCATCCTGTAGCTTCTGTTCTTCCATCTCTCCACTTTTCTCTCACTCATTCTTTTCCACTCTTCTTACCCCGCTCCACCTCCTTCTTTCCACCTCCTTCCTCTCATTAGATAACTGCAGTCGGCTTCATTTAATATATGCAAAGCCGTTTATGCCCCTGGAATATTTTAGTTCTTTAAATACTTCACGCAGTGTACCAAAATATGTTTCATCTAAAGCCTTCTGTATTTTGATATTGCACACAAAAGCAGAACCAGCCTCTTGTGTGATTTGGAAACTGGTACAAAAGCATAGAGGAGAAAAAAATTCGACAAAAGTGGGTAATGGAAGAAAAAGGGGAGGGAAGTGTGTGTGTGTGTGTGTGTGTGTGTGTGTGTGTGTGCCTCTGTGTGCTAGAGAGACAACCTACATGCATAGGTTTAAACATACATGTAAGCTTGTGAGTACGTGTTTGCCTGCAATTAGCAGATGAATATGTGTGTTTGTCTGTGGCTTGGAGTAGAGGATGTTATTTGTGTGCGTGTGTGTGTATAAGCACTAAAACGTCTGTGCTGATCACTGTGACCCAGAGAGAAGTGCTGACACCAGCACTTTGCTCTGGGGGAGGCAATGCTGGCTCAACAGCGGCTCCAGCCAGTGATGAAAGCATCCGTAACAGCAACATTATCTCCAGGTCCACACACTACTGCATCAGCAACACCGACAACCTCTGCTGCTTCATGTGGTGTTTCCTGAGCTCTCTCTCCCTTTATAATCCAAATAAACTCAGTGACAACAGAGTTGCTGTTGGCTTCATTAGGCTACTTAAAAATGAGAAGTAAGTTAAGTGCAGATGAGGATCTGCTATCTCAGGAAAACACACATTTGTCTTTTAGAAGTAATGGTAACTGTAGTAATTAAATAAAACTTGAAATAAAGGTCAAGACGAAGCTTGAAGCTGTCACTAAGAGCGACAGCGTTAATGAAGCCCCAGGTACCCCAGCAAAAATATTTTACTGGCACTATTGTTGGCCTGCTGTCAATAAGCATCCTGTCATCTGTGCTACTTATCATCTTTTAGCATTATTAATTGTTAAGTACTAAGAAGTTGATCCTGGAATTGACTTGGTTAAAGATTGCTCTGTTCTTCCAGTCTGTTCGGTCCCGGTACGGTTCTGGAGTGACAGAAGTTCGGGAGATTTTTGTTTGTTTGTTCAATTTTTCCTTTTCTTTTTTCCTGATGGCCTTTTGGCTGACCGACTGATCTCCAGGGCTGTGTGCATGAGGCCTCAGCTCGCCTCTTTGGTTAACGATGTGCACTTCTGATTCACTGAGATGTTTCACTGTCAAAAAGAAAGGCTTAAAATTCAACGTAATTTTTAAAGATAAACCGCCCAGCCGACTCCTCGGAGGATCTTTTAATGCAACTATGACACTCAGCTATCATTCAGAGCACTTTTTCACACGTGCACGTTGGCTTCAAAAAGACATGTATACATATATTGGTAAAATTGTTATAGAAGAACTGCAGAAATGAGGACGAAGGTCACATCCTGAAAGACAATATGCCACAGTGGAAGAATGCAGCGCTTTGAAGATCAGGATAGAAAGAGAACAAAGAAAGCATTGTGCGATCAGAAATAAGATCTCTTTTATACTCATGTAGAACATTAAATATTTTCTCACCTCTCTTTGTCGCTCAGGAGCCTAACTCTCCCGCAGGCAGCCCTCCTCACTCACCCCATGGGAATGGGTTAGACCGGGCCCCCACTCTGAGGAAAGAGCTTCCAGGGTCCTCGAGCACAGGAGAGGCACCGTCCACGCCAAACCCCCGCAGCCCAACCACAGGCAAAGCCAAGGACCCTGGACAGGTAAGATAAACAGTTGCTATAAAAATCCCTACTTTGCTTACAAAGCACTGTAATTTTTAACATTTCCAGTAGAAAATCTCTTCACTTTTTACCCTTAGGCCATTCATTGCTGGCGTATATTACGCTATCATATTGTTTTGCTCTGGGGTTATAAAAAAGCTCATACATTACTAATTTATGCACACTAAATGGCTCTGATACAAAACAAAAGTTTTGTTTTTTTTCACACCGAGAATGTTTAAGCAGTGTCATTCTGGAGGTTACTGCGACAGATCGGCCATGTTCCTTTTTTCCCCACTTTCTTTTTTATTGTTTGACATCTCTGCAGATGGATAAGTCCCAGTCCCCGTTGTCTAAGTCTGGCACCCCGTCCCCATCCCACCGTGAGGCCCTTACCCCAGGAACACCAGGAGCTCCTGGTCCCAGCACCTCCTGCCTTCGCCTAGTCAGCAAAGCAGCAACCAGTGCAGATCCCCTTGGTGAGACTCTCCTGACTGACTGACAAGCCTGCTGTAATTTAAATCTAAAATAACTGGTTATTATAATTTCACTGTAGATAAAGGCCCTCTCTGTTACTAAGCTATGGTGACACTGTTTTTTAGTATTTGTAAATGGTACAGATCATCACAGTACCACTGCCCTTGACTTTCAAACTGAGCTGCTTTACTGCAGGTCTTTTTCATACAACCAATTGGGTCAAATCAATCTTTTAATTCAGGCTTTGTACCCAGCTGACCTCTGCCCTTCATGCATTTTAACCTCTTATCCCACTTTTTTCATTTCCACATTTGTTTATACTTATATACTGAATAATCTTGCTTACTCTACGGTTTTGTTGCAAATTTGCTTAATATGATCAAAGCAAAGTTGATATACTTAATAATGTGGATGCAGTGTGGATTTGAGCGCTTCTTGGTCTGGTGTCAAACTCGGTGTATAAACAAAGTTTAGTGTAAAGAAACATTTTCCATTCTTCTCAGTCCCTCTGTGACTGTGTCTGTGCTTGTATACTGTGCATTGTTCTTCCCTTCATCCCATCCTTCAATTCCTCCTTCCTCTTTCCCTCCCTCCCTAGCTCTCCGCAGTCCCATGTCTGTGCCCCCCGGTTCATACCCGGCTCATTTTGGCGTGGTGTCCCACGCAGGACTGAATGGGGAGCTGGCCAGCCCAGGAGGCTTCGGAGGGGCTCTGACTCTCTCCCCGCAAATCAGCGCCGCGGCCAGCGCATACTCCAGAAGCCCCATGGTGTGTAAAGGCCAAATTTATCTTCTCTGTCAAGCTCTGATTTATTGTTCAGATGCAAACTTTTGACTTTTGTAGCACTGTTCAAAAACTTGATGAATCACTTCTGCGCTATCAACTGCATTCGTTATATACTCGAAGCCGTCACATTTACATCCTCAAATTCACTTTCATATAGTGCTACAGTCATAGAGAAGAGAAACTTTACTACAAAGAGTCTTGCCTTGATGGATTGCATCTATGTTACATATCAGGAAACGTGGGTGAACAAGAAGGAGCTGAAAGAGTCCAGTTAAAGTCTGATGTAGAAGAATAAATTCGTCCCTTCTAATCGCTTTAAATTGCAACTATTTTTTATTTATTTGGAAAATAGATTCTACTGGATAACTTCTTGCACCTTTGGATGATAATTGGAAATCATTCTGAATCTTTAAAGTAGCCTTTGCCAGTCTGTCACTTTTTTGTTCACGCTTTACTTTCCACCAGGTGGCGTATGACTCTCGGTCTCACCTAAGGGCCCCGGGGCTGCCCTCCTCTCTCCCTGGTTCCTCTGGTGGCAAGCCGTAAGTCAGAGCTTCTATCGCGCACTAAAACAAGCCCAGATTAGACGATGCTCAAGCGTGAAGAGAGATAAAATATAATGATTCAATGTGCTGCAAATTTTATCTGAAGCTGAGTCTTTTTCTGTTTTGCAATTAAAACCATCTACAGTTTTGAGGCACGTGTAATAGCATTAGTATTGTATTTATTTTGCATGGATGTGCTGTATAATTGAATGAAGCAGTTACATTTTTAATCTTATTTTTAGCTGATGGTGCTTATAGAACAGCAGAAAAGGACAACGACACAACAGGAACATACTTCAAATATTAGCTCAGTGATATTTGCCTTGGATGGGAATCAGGATGAACTGTAGCTGCTCCTCTTTGTGTTTTTAAAAGAAAATAGAGGGCATTTCAAAGATGTCCATGAACCTTTTTTTGATGTCTGAAATGCTGGTGTGATTTTTAAATGTCCCGGCACCTACTCAGACAAATTTGCAGACTGAGGAATTGTGTTGTTTTTGTCATTCATTGCAGAGTGGCAATTCATTCTTGCGGCGCTAATTTGAAATCATAAAGCAGCCTCGGCTTCCAACCGCTACAGTATCGATCAGCCATTAGCAAAGCCACGCTGACTTTGCCCTGTAATATAATCTGCCATTATGCATTCCTGCCCGTAGCTACGGTGAGCCCAGTAATTGCCAGAGTTCGGGGAAATACTGCTGGAGTTTCAAGGCTATTATGGTGTTGTCACACGTCACACTGCCCACTGACATATTTGTGGTCATTAATGAGTTGTGTGTATTTACCCCTAGCACTCTGCTTTTACTTGCTCGCTAACTGATTGATTGATTTTCATCTTCTCTCTCTTGTCTTCATAGCACCTAGGAGTCCAATTTTAGTTTGTTTTTTAGCTGTTGCTCTTTCTGCCTGACTGTATTGATTTATTTTCCCTCCTCTCTCTATCCCTTCTCAGCGCCTATTCGTTCCACGTGAGCGCGGACGGCCAGATGCAGCCGGTGCCCTTTCCTCCCGACGCTCTGCTGGGTCCGGGAATCCCTCGTCACGCCCGTCAGATCCACACCCTGAGCCACGGAGAGGTGGTGTGCGCCGTCACCATCAGCACCTCGACTCGTCACGTGTACACCGGCGGGAAGGGCTGCGTCAAGGTGTGGGACATCAGCCAACCAGGAAGCAAGAACCCCATGGCCCAGCTGGACTGTCTGGTGAGACATGAAAGAAAATGAGGCGCACACAAGTATTAAAAAATTGAGAAGAGTACTCTCGTAACCACTCGCACGTGAATCCATGAAAACCAGTGCATGCATCCACAGAGCAGATTTGTTTTTACTGACCATGTCGTGTTTCCTCTTCCACTTTGGTAACAGACATTAAAACGTCCACATTAATTTCCTGAATGTCCCTAGTGTTGCCATCTGTCCTGTAAAGCCTCACGCACTCCCTCCTTGATCAAGTTACAACACCCGTAATCTGACTGGTTTCTTTATCTTGTCAAATCAGAACAGGGATAACTACATCCGCTCCTGTAAAATCCTCCCAGACGGACGAACCTTGATTGTTGGAGGAGAGGCCAGCACGTTGTCAATCTGGGATTTGGCCACGCCAACTCCCCGCATCAAGGCGGAGCTGACGTCGTCCGCTCCCGCCTGCTACGCTCTGGCCATCTCCCCTGACAACAAGGTCTGCTTTTCCTGCTGCAGCGACGGCAACATCGTCGTCTGGGACCTTCACAACCAGACGCTCGTCAGGTAAGAAGGACCTCTGCAGGTAGACTGTAGTGAGACGAGAGCAGAAAGAGAAAGGTGAGAAAAAGAAGGTAGAATATTTCAGATGGAGGAAGGGAAGAGAAAATATGTAAGAAGAGAAAGCGAGTGAGAAATTGTTGCAGTCTGTGGCTTCTTTAACTAACACCAAGGTCAGGTGCAAACAAAAGGGATAATCTAGCCATAGGGGATGTGAAGAGGATAAAACAGCTCTGTTTTAGCAAAGCTGGGCTTAAATAAAAAGGAAATGAGATGCGGAACACTGTCGGTTCTACGGGGAGGCAAGAATTAAAACATATTTAATCTGACACCTCTACCAGGAAAGAAGCAGAGAAACAACAGGGAGGCAGAGTCCGCTTTGCTTGTGTATTCAAAGGGCTTCCAGTTCGGTTCTTAGACCCTCTTTTGTGCGTGTTTGCGTGGTCGTTGTCCCGGCAGGCAGTTCCAGGGCCACACGGACGGAGCGAGCTGCATCGATATCTCCAACGACGGCACCAAGCTGTGGACGGGAGGGCTGGACAACACAGTCCGCTGCTGGGACCTCCGAGAGGGACGCCAGCTGCAGCAACACGATTTCACTTCACAGGTGTGCGCGCACACACAGACACACACAGACACACAGTAATCATATTCTGCTCACGCTTTTTAACATGTTGATACAGGTACAGCACTTAAATGGTAATAGATCCCTAATATTGCATCTGTAATAAGATTCACCTCAATAAGGGATCGTGCACAGTAAATACAACAATAATCTACACACACACACACACACACACATTTTGTCTCTCATTCACTATTCACTGTGACGACAGGACTACAGCTGACCACTGGTGTCAAATGAGTTTCGATCCACAGTATAATGACTTTCTCTGTCTGCCATCTGAGGTCTGTTTAGTTCACTCTATATTTAGCTCGTTTATATCACTCCACTCTTTCATTTTTCCTTTTCCCTACTTTCCACCTCTGATCTTTTGTTGTCCCATCATCTTTATCTCTTCTCTTTAATATCCTCCGATCCCTAATTTTAAGTTCTTTTATCTGTCCTCCCTACTTCCTTCCATTGTTCTCTTTTAATCAACCTTATCTTCTTTCCCGCCCCTCATGTTGTTTTTCTTTTCACTTTTTTAAAAATAACTTCTGCGCCCTTGCTGTTGTCACTTCTAATCCTTCTGTGTCGCCCCTCATTTTGCTTTCTGCTTTGCTTTATTCATCTTCTTTCTCCCTCTTTGTCTCCAGATCTTCTCTCTGGGCTACTGTCCGACAGGCGAGTGGCTGGCTGTGGGAATGGAGAGCAGTAACGTGGAAGTCCTCCATGTCTCCAAACCGGACAAATATCAGCTGCACCTGCACGAGAGCTGCGTTCTCTCCCTCAAGTTCGCCTACTGCGGTACAAACACAAGCACTTTTATCCGTTCCTAAATCGATTGAATCCCAGCCACTGACCGACATGTGTCTGGCTTCTCCACGCTCTTGCTTTGTAGTTTGTTTTCCCCTTTAGTTATTCCTTTCTCGTTGATTAACATGTGTTACTGTGGCTTTGTTGTTTCAGGGAAGTGGTTTGTGAGTACAGGAAAAGACAATCTGTTGAATGCATGGAGGACACCTTATGGAGCTAGTATTTTCCAGGTGAGAGATAAGCACCGATGACTGGCTCTGATGACGTGTGTGTGTGTGTGTGTGATATGTCTTTTGTCAGTGTGCCATAGGGAGAGAGTCTCTGCAACACAGAGCCTTTAAGGCAAAAGAGAGAGATGACAGGGTTCAAAGGGAGAGAGCGTGATAAACCTCTATTTTTTTTTTCACTTTCAGATTTGTTGATCCAAGGTGACTTGTGGAGATTTATCAGATGGTGCAGACTGACGCACACACACAAACACACACAGTGAATCAAAACACGACAAACACCATCTTTCCATTTCGTTCAGTTGCTTCGTTGGAGGAAATGTTGAAACATGAATATGCAGAGAATATTTTTAGCTGAGCGAGTACATCTGGGTGTGAATGAAACTCGAGAGACGAAGGCACATTTAAGCTGAGCAGTGTGTGTGTGTGTGTGTGTGTGTGTGTGTGTGTGTGTGTGTAAAAAACAGTGTGGTTGTCATATTTCTGTAAGCTACAGTGGGCAGCAGGGTTGGCGGCTCCCGTCTTTCCCCGTGGACTGAAAGGAGAATACTGGCTATCTTGCTTTGTTATCCAAATGCCAAATGTTCCTCCTGCCAAACAGCTCCCTCCTGTCACTGTGTTAAACAGAGCTGCTCTCTCTCTCTCTCGCTCCTCTTCATCGCTGTCCTCCTTGCCTCTTTTCAAAGCGCCGTTTCGCTCTTGTCTTATTTTTCCTCTCTGTTTGTTGTTGTCCTCCCTCCCTCTGCTCATTTTTATCTTTTCCTCCAAATCTGCCTGGATCTACTTTCTTCTTTGACCTTGTCCTTTTTATTACTGTCCTTTGCTTTCATCGCCTTCCTTTATTTTATTTCCTGTTTCCCCCCTCTTTCTCCTCATGCTCGCTTTCATTCACGTCCTTTAGCTGGTGTGTGGCATCACTCTCTTTGTTTGCTTTCTCTCAAGGGAAACTGGAAAAGGACAAAGGTCATAAAGAGTACAATCCAATCAAGATATGCAGACTGAAAGAAAACAGATGGAACAGTCCGATGAGTCTCGAGTTCAGAAAGTTTAATGAGGGCGACTTTTGTGCAGTGCAAAAAGTTGTTCTCTTAAATCAGTGAGTTTAGAGAAGCGACTATTTGCGGTGCACAGGGAGAACAGACATCCACTTGTTTCACTGTCCAGCCGGTATTCACACCATGAAGGTTTCCCCTCTTCCTTTTTTCAGCTTTTATTGAGCTGTTTTTCGCACCGAAATGCCAAACATGCTCTCATCCTTTCAGCGGTATTGGCTCAACAAAACAAGCTGTGTTATCATTCTGAAATGTTGCTTTTTATAAATGTTCATTCTCCCTGCTATAAATTTTAAATATGACAGTTAAATGGCACATTAGCTGAAAATCTGTGCTGCCAGGTACATGCCACCGTGTTCACGTCACATGGTAGCATGCAGCTTCACATTTTCAATCACAAAGATGGTTTTTTATATACAAGTTCTTAAATGTTGATACTTATTTTTAGCTCGTTCACTTCGTAACTAATGTGTTACCGAACATTTTAGGCTAAAAGATGAATCAAATAAACCCTGTGACTCTTTTTCCAGAAAGCAGACAAAAGTCACAGACATCCAAAAAGTAAATCAGAGTTTTAAGTTTCTCTGGGTTTTTCAATGTCTTCTTTACTTTTCTCATCTTCAAACTCATCCTTTAACCTGTCACTGCCCCCCCTCCCCCCTCCCCTCCTGCTATCTTGTTATAGTTTGAGGATTCCTGTGTGAAATGGCCTCTCACCAGTGCCCTGATGATTGACAGCCCCGCTGAGCTTGTAGCGAGGAAAGGAGGAGAGGGCAGAGAAGTTTAGAGAGGGAGAGGAGGAGTCGACACGAGAGCTGGGGCCTGAGTGAAAGGGGAGCCTAAGAGGATAGAGAGTGGTGCTGGAGGAGGAGGAGAGTCTGGGAGGAAAGGGAGGAAGATAAATGATGATGGAACAGTAGGGGGGAAAGGAGGTGAAAGGGGGAGGTGGGGTTTAGAAGTAGCTTTAGATCATCTAAAGCCAGGTGCCCAGGTCTGTCTTTGGGATACAGGGGGGAAAAGAGAGCGAATAAAAGGGAAGGATTGTGCATTTTTCCAGTTGAGGCTACCAGGCTTATGCTGCTTAAAACCTGGAGTTAATGTGGCAGTGTCTCACACTGGAGCAGACGAATGAGTCAGCATCCTGGAGCTGTGGAGTTGTCTGTTTGGAAATAATTGCCGACTGTTTTGAAATGCAAATATGTCTTGTATGATTGAGTATTAAATGATGAGTCACATCTTTTCTAACATCTCTTTGTGTTCCTTTCTCTCCATCTGTCTTCATCCATTTATCATCACATCCCTCTTGCTTTCTCTCTCACCCCACCCCCCACCTCTCGAACACTCCCAGTCCAAGGAGTCTTCATCAGTGCTGAGCTGTGACGTCTCCCCAGACGACAAGTACATAGTAACTGGCTCTGGGGACAAGAAGGCCACGGTGTACGAGGTGGTGTACTGAGGGCCGGGACAAGATGGGAAGAGACAAGGTGGAGATTTTAGGGGCGGGACACTCTGCCAACCACTCCTGATCCTCATTACATCAGCAACAGCAGCACCTCCGTCTCAGTCGTCTTGAGTCCTCCTGACTCTTACCCCCAAAACATCACTCCCCCCCCTCTCTTTTTTTTTGCTGTGATATAAGCTACTGTGGAAGCTCCCAAATGCCATCTCCCCTCCTCCCCCTTCCACTTTTAGCCCAAGGATGAGGCATGATAGCAGAGAGAGAGAGAGAGAGGCAGAATGGGGAGCAGCAAGATAAGAAGGACAAAGGAAAAGGGCGGTGGAGCATAAAGATAAAGTTTGGAGGAGAAAGAGGGAAAGATGAGGAGAAGAGAAAGAGTGAGTGCGGAAGGAAGAAATGAAAGGGAGGAAGAGGACGATGAGAAGGAGGAGGGAGGCAGGGTAATTAGGGCTGTTTCCTGATTAAGAGCTCAGTGGAAGGGAGGCCCCCAGAGGAGGTGCGGAGCGGCACTGTGGGAGCGCCAGCCAGGAGCACTGATACCACACAATCGATTCATTAGCCAGACAGTGGAAGCCTTAATGAGGCTGACGCCGCAGCTCGATCTCCCCAGCGAGAGGTGTCAGGAGCTGGGGAATGATGACGCTCCGAGACGGAAGGGGGCTGCTTCAGATATCCACATACACTGACGTGAAACATAGACCTGCTAATACACACACACGCGCGCGGCATCAGGCTAGAATACACACACACTCGCTTCCACCCCCTTGAGGTACTCGTATGAAGAGAGAAACACACACAACACATAGAGCACCCAATTAAACATTCACCGCAGCGCTCCCCGTCTCACTGCTAATATCTATTTTATTTTGGTCTGACAAAGGCAGCGTCTAATGAGCAGCGGAGTCAATGGGATTCTCCCAGGGCCCAGAGACACAAACAGAGAACATCAGCCGAGCTGTTCATTCTAATTCCTCTGGATTGTTCTCCTGACACCGGGCGCTGCACTCACTCTCATTAAAGGCACTGTCAGCTAGATGAAGTAGCAGCACGCCAGCTTCACTGTAAGGCGGACGAGGGGGCAAATTAACACCACTCGTTTACGCTATCATCAGCAGCCAACTAAGCAGCGACTAATCCGATTCCTTTCAAATTTTATGCAACTAGTTGCTGTTTTCATTTACAGACGAGATTACATGTTTATCAGAGTCATTATCTCCATCTCTGCCTGCCTGCTTACGTGCTAGTGTTCAAGTGCTCGGGCTAATTCTTGTTTCATAAGCTATTGATTTCTATTAACTGAGATGCTAAACACCTTAAAGAATTTTTTACATTTTCACTTGCTCACTGAGATTACGATTAGAAGATTTATGCCACTCTCATGTCTGTAAATTCGCCGCAAGCAGCCTTCCAATGTAGCTTGGCCAACAGACAGAAAACAGGTGCCCAAAAGAGCATTTTACTCTTTTAAGAGCGTACAAATCGGTTTTTATTGACATTTGATGCACCACACTAGCTGGCTTAAACACCTTACCGCTGTCAAGTGCATGCTGAAGTTTCAGTGCAGCCAGAATAAAAATAGTTGAAAATAACTTGTGTCAATATGTCACAAACAGTGCAATCAGTATCGTCCATGAGTTCAGCTTCTTTTGGCCCGTTTATGCCAGACCGGTCGCTTTGCATGCAAACAGCTCCATACCACCGTGTAGGGGAGAGCAGCGTGTCGTGATTTATGAGCTGAATCATCATCACTATGCAAACACATTTTAATGACAGCTAAATCACTGTGATTTTTACTTTCCACGAATTAGTTAGAAACACAACTTTCAGCCTTTCTTATATTTTAAAATTGGGGTTTTTGGAGACCTGGGATGTAAATGTGCCGGCATTTTTGGGTCAGCTTCTGTTGTGTGTTCAGGCTATAAATAAAACAGACGTGACAACACAAAAGGGTTCAGACATTTTTCAAAGTGCCTGTTTGTTAATTTAACACAAATCGCTAAACTTACAGGACAGAAACTACATATCAATCCTGTCAGGGTAGTATTGATCCAGTACCAATAGCAGCATTGGTATCGTTACTATGGCAACATTCAGAAAATAAAATAAATGCATAAATCAGAGGGCTTTTTTTTTCCAGAAAGCCTGATGTTTTCAAACTGTTGCAACATCTCCCTCTCTGTAGTGTGTGACTCTCCAAGCTTCTGTACCAATGTGTTCTTAAACCAGTGGTTAAAAACCAGCACAGGCGTAAAGTCAGCCAGCATAAATATGTCCTTACAAGCTGGAGACAGGTGCTTTTGGTGAATTTGGTTTGCATGCCATCAATAAAGTTTGGCCAGGTGCTTCCTCAGATTGGATGCGTTACCGTGGCCACCTTCACATTTAGCACCACAAATGTCACAGAGGGCGTCGTCTGCATATATCACATCAGATCGCTCAAACGCTGCTGAAGTCGAGGTTAATACTTTCTCCACTTTTCTGTTTGTGGGCTAAGCTTACTTGCGTATTAGTGGCCCTGACTAATAGCAGGCTAGTAAAACGATGATTCTCCCTGTTTTTCTTCTGTGGCTACACTGAGTATTAATCTATTCTGAAGTATTCTAGCACGTTGTACGGCTTTTACTTGGCTTTTTGTGGATAAACGCATGAGCATTGGAGATGCTGGTAAGGAGTTTTTAGGGGTTTTTCTTTACATTTCAGACAGAGTCAGGCTACCCGTTCTCGTTTCTGTGTACTAAGCTATCAGGCCTTGTAATTATTGTACAGACATGAGAGTACTATCAGTCTTTCTAATTCTTGTTATGACAGCAAATAAGAAAAATATCAAGCTACTTCTTTAAATATAATCCTTACTTTTGATTCCTACTTGTATCATATTCCAAACTGGCAGGCAAACTGTATATCGGAGCTCTCTGCTTCTGTAGAACATGCATCACCAATGTTTAGACTAAAAAGGCACATTTCAAGATTTTCTTTGATTACTCGTTAATTTCTGAATATTTTTTTTTAATAGTGATTGCTTGTCTTATGTAATGATGTGTTTATGTATTGGGGTTGCCTATGATTATGGGGAGGAATGCACTCACACATGGAGACAGAATATCAAGAGGAACACAGGTGGGACTACTTTTTTGTCTTTTTTTTTAAATCAGGGTACCTTTTATCCTTGGTAATGGTGATGGGCAGAGGGTGTACAACATCAGCAATCCAGTGTAAAGAAAAAAAAAGAGCTCCTCTGTCCACTCCTTGTTTTTATTATCCCCCTTTTTTTCCAAAGTGGTAGTGCGTGTATTTTAGTCTGTTTTCAGTCTTTACTGTGTAGTAATAAGCCGTTTCTGTTGAGTCTGTGGACCGTGTACAACAGGAGTTGGCTGCGACATGAAAATATAGATTTAGCCATTGATTGATCGATCGAGGTTCCACTTTTTATTGCATGTTTGTTGCATTAAAGCTCCACTGCTGGTAGAACAAAATCAATCTGGTTTCGTTCGGTAAATACAGCGAACGGTCTCACAGCCGCAGTTTTACACAAGAAAATCTTAGCGTGACAGTTTGCAATCTAGCTCATCTGTATAAAATGTCAGCAGGACTCTTCCATGCTTCTTGCTGCAGCACTAATGCAGAATAGGAGATTTACGAGAGACTTCTGAGATGGCTCGTGTACCAGCCAGGAGTCAGAGATAATCTGTACAGTTTAATGCCTTTGCCTGCCTGTTTCCCTTTCTGCCTGACAGCCACAGGCAAATCTAAACAATATTCTCATACACAAGCTTGTAATCTACTCAAAATGATGCTGTATAATGGCTATGCATTTGGTGGTATAGCATAAATATTTGGGACATTGTATTTGATACTTTTCTTTAACAGTAGGTAACACGTCTCCCCTGCTTGTGCTTCTCTGTTCCAACAGTGTTCAAAACTTATTTTTCCCCCCATTTTACAAGTTCATGTAAAGTTTCTCTTTTAAAAAGCCAAGGAACTTCCTCCTTTTTTTCCTTTTTTTTAACTGGGTCTTCCCTCCTGAAGTGTTTTCCCACGTGCTGTAAAAGAAATACTATGTGTGAAAAATAAACCAAACTTGTGTTCATCCTTTCCAGTGTCTTCTGTGTCAATTATTTTACTATGGGGATGGCAGTGGGTGCTCTGCTTTTGGTGTAAATTTTAACATCTCTAGAAATGAAAGCTAAAAAAATGAGGCCAATGTGAAAAGTTCCCTAACATGCATCTCCTCTCTCTATTGTCTCTGTAACAGCCTCAAGTAACAGTGGTGAGAGCATGCTTTGTTGAAGATGGATAGCACTACCTAGATACACAGGGGACCGACTGCACTGTGGAGAAGAAAACCAAATCCTAATGTGAGCCAAATGTTAACTTTCGTTTTAGCAGTTTTCGGGCTCGAGATTATCCCAGCTGTCGTAGGTTGAGAGGCGGTGAACACCCTGGACAGATTACTAGTCCATCACAGGGCCAACGCAGAGAGTCAGCCAACCATTCACACTGACATTCACACCTATAGGCAATTTTGAGCCATTAACCAAACATGCATGTCTTTGGACTGTGGGAGGAAGCCACACAGGCACAGGTAGAACAAACACAAAAGCCCCAGTCAGCCAGTAGGACCTTGCTGTGAGGTGCAAGTTTAATCACCAAAGAAACTGATTCCATTGTTTACCGTAATCTCATTACTGTTTGCAGAACCTGTACGGCATGCGTACACATCACAGGTGAGCAGAGAGGAGTGCAGTGAAATGGTCTCGTCATGTAACTTTACACCATCTACTTATCTCCACTTTCTTATGATTGCTGTAAAACAACAGTGTGTCATATAAAGACAATCACTGTGGGCTGTGGAGGCGAATCATGGCAACTATATTAGGCATATCTATTCAACGACTCATTAATGCAGCTGCCTGATCAACCAATCACGTGGCACAAACTAAATGCATCTAGGCATTAGGGGTGCAACGATACTCATATCGATATTGAACCGTTCGATACAGTGCTTTCGGTTCGGTACACATGTGTATTGAACGATACAAAATTTTTAATTTATTTGATCAACTTTCCTTCTGACGATGCTGT